ACACTTGTCCCTCCGGCTGACACTTGTCCCTCCTATTGACACTTGTCCCTCCCTCTGACACTTGTCCCTCCTACTGACACTTGTCCCTCCCGCTGACACTTGTCCCTCCCGCTGACACTTGTCCATCATAATGGCCTCCTGCAGGACACTCTCGCCAGGGCCTCAAGTGTAAGCTGTGTAAGGTCAGCGTGCATCCTGACTGTCAGGCGGAGGCGCCCAAGTGTCAGCCGAAGACGCGGCTGCTGAGGCGTCAGCGCAGCACGTCTGACATCGAGACGAAACAGATCGAGCCTGACGAGGACGAAAGTAAGCAGATATTTTTATTTAAGTATTTTAATTTGCTCACCGAATGCTATAAGAAACAATAGAATTCAAAAATCACATCGAGATTGATTGCACTTTTTATTTATACAGAAAATTGACTTAAGTCTAAAGTGTATTGAACTGTAACAGTGGAAAGGACTAATTGATTTTTTCAATTAGAAAATTGAATGTTTTATAGAACTATGAAGGTTAATGGCCAAGTCGAAGTTGTGCTGATGTGTAGTTCGAACCTTTCCGTAGAGGTCAGATTTATCTATTCCAGCTATTTCTCCGCTCTGAGATTTCATTGAACTGTCGAGTTATGGATCTGAATGCATGTGCTGTCTAAATAATAATGAAATCGGAACAGGCTCTGTTGGACGTAGATTCATTATGCATATTAATTAATCAAGCTTGAAAAACTTATTCAAAGCAATCCAACCTTTCTATTACTCCTGTGTTTTCAGTGTATTGTGATTCCGGTGGCCGTTTTAAGTTGTAAAAGTGAATGGAACATTCGGGATTATTACTTGGAAATCGTTTATTTATAACAAATAAATGTACACGACTTGAAACGAAAGTCAAATTTCAAATGATGCACAATCGGCCATCATTCAGAACAATCTCCTTTGCCCCTACCATGACAATCTTTTAAATTGAGAGCAACAAAATCTTTCGAACCTTTGCAGATCAAATGTTCGCTGACCTTCTCTCATGTTGTCTCGCCACCATCTTTGGACCAATTGGATCTATGGACCAAACCAAATAATTTCAATGGACCAATTTAATCACGGACCAATGAGAAATTTTATATCAATTTCATCATTTAAATTGGATCTTTGTAGATCAAAGTTTCGCTGAACTCTTCCCACGACAAGATCTTTCTCAGGGCCGCAGTTTCCGACGCTCAATTACCATCCAGAATTTCTTACGAGGCTCCTCACGGCCCCAATTTGATAGTTTTTCCGGCCCCATGGGGCGATTTATAACGCCAGTGGCCCCGTCCTCGTGAGGGCCAATTAATGGCAACACTTGAGGCCTCATAAAACAGGCCCTTCACTCCCTCTTCCCCGTGAGGTGGGGAGACCTCATAAAATTCTTCTTGGGAGGATGACATGGAAATTTAGCAAGAGCTCCAAAGTGCAGTAATTTCCGCTATGTGTGGAAATACTTTGATTTCCGATTGGTATAAAAATTGTGGCAATTGTTGCTGTAGTTTTATCTTTACTTGTTGTTGTTTCTTTAGGGAAGATGGAGTAGAGGACCTCCTAGAGTACAAAGATTGAGTAGAGAACCTCCTAGAATACAAAAAAGAAGAAAAAGAAGAACCTCCTAGAATACAAAGAATGAGTAGAGAACCTCCTAGAATAGAACCTAACCTAGTACAGAGAGCGATAATGCAACAAAATATGCATGCTGCAAAGCTTGTCAGTATACAGGGATGCGAGGGCACGATAAGAGACCAAAAAAAGAAAACGCTTCGCCCATAGAAAACATAGGTAAAAAATATAACGCAGTACTCACTGCAGTGAGTGACAGAGAGCGCATTTTCTGGTCGACGAAAACGTGAAGTCACGGACGGACAGACAGACAGACGG